AAGTAATCTTGAAAGTTATTCTGATAAGGAATTCTTACTGCTGTATGTCTGTGTGTGTGCGTCTCTCTCTCTCATGCTGCGTTGCCAGGGTAACCGCCCCCACCCTCGCGGCTCTGCTTTCTCTCTGCTCTTCTGCTCTGTATTAAAGGAGATACCGTCTTTAGAATTTTGGCTTTTTTTGTTGAACCAGCACTTCCTGGTTCAACAAATGTATTTGGAAAACTGACTGCCATAATAATGTGCCACTGATAAGGAAAGTAAACCACAGAATAGAGAGATTTGTTGGATTAAAATGTATGTTTAAGAATGTGGCTCAATGGAAGCAAATATGCAAACATATTTGTAAATAGATTGGAATAGTTTTAAACTATAGTGAATAGTAAAAGTAAAGTACACAGTGTAAGATTGAATAGTGAAAATAATACAGTGAAATAAGTGAAGTGTAAATAATTAGCATTAGAATAAAAGTATAGAGTAAGAAAAGTGAAATTAGCTTCAAATTTGAGACTCAGCTCGTTTTTGTCTGTGTTTTGACTGAATCTGCTGAGTTCTTGTGTGTCCAATAGAGTTTGTTTTTGTTTGTTTTTATTTTTGATTTGTTTTGATTTGTGATCACATGTGGATGTGATCAAGAGAGGGACTGTGAATATTTAATTATTATTTGCTTGCTGAAATGTCATGTTAAACAGTTCAATAAGAGTTCACTTGTACTTTGAACTGCTTGCAGAGGCATGGAAACAGATAAGGTACAGAGCAAACAGTTAACATGTGCAGTATGGATGGTGTTGTCGCATGCACATTGGAGTTTGCTCCATTACAAAACATAGTTATATCACAGTTGTACATTGAAACCATACGCTCCCTTCTGCATAGTCATGCTTACATAATCATTTTAAATGTATATAAGGAGTTAGCCTTTGCCTGTACACCAGACTTCTGCCAGCCAGACGGGAAGCTGCGTTGTACTTGATCAGAATACGCTCAAACCTTCTGACAATAAAACTATTGAACTACGCAGTCGAAGTCTCTTTTGTCTTACGTCTGGGAAATTCACATGTATGCAATTTGGAGCCACGCATTTGGGACTTTACCTAGGACTGGAGAGGAGCAGAGTCACACGGCCCAGTGGGAAGTGCGGGCAAACAGGGAGTGACATGGGATGGGAGCGCTTAAATAGTCCACCAGCTCAGCGCCGCAAGGCGGCGAGTTACAATGCCCTCAGCATAGACCACCAGACCTGGTCTTGCCACACAAACATACAAACAAAGGATAGGAGTTAGCAGATAAAAACATAATTAAAAATGACAACAAAATACATTAAAATCATTAAACGAGAGAAGTTAAGTCACTGCAAGACAATTCTAAAGACCTCTAAAACAAGATTCATAAAATAAAAATAAATCCATACATTGGCCACATTGCAAAGCAGACACCGCAGGGTTCAAAGAAGTGAAAAGGGGTGACTGATACTTACCAAAGCCCATATTGACATTAAAACCACAAATGACTAAAAGAAAAGGTTTAATCTTTAACTCCATCACGTATAAGTCTGAAAAGGATTAGACTGTGTAACGTTGATCCTGACAGGACCGAGGAGTGATCTCTGTTTTTATTTAAACAACTGCTCACTGATGATTAACCCTCCCTTCATTAACTGTGTTTGTTTTTGGGGCATTATGGAGGAAAGTGTGATAGAATTCCACATCCTTGAATCCATTATTCATTATACATCCTGATTTTGTTAAAAAAAAGGAGCGTCGATTTACCATTCTTTCTGTATGGAGTGAAGTGAATCATCGAGTGAAGTCTTTCAAAAACACATCTCTGAGTCACTGACAGAGAATTCCACATGTAAACACCCGGAAAACAAGCAAGGATTATTTTAGCCTTTCTGCTGAAGAGGCTGAATTAAACATAAGCTAGCTGGAGCCAATTTCCTTATGTGGGCATTTTCTCCCACTGTGTTAGCTTTACGCCACAACATGGGCAGTTGCTAAGACGGTTGCTAAGACGGTTGCTAGGGCAAGCTGGCTTTCTCCCCATGAATGAAGGCATCTGATTGGTCGAACCTTACATTGCTTTTATCTAGATTTACAAAGACAATATCACAATATATGCGTAGGTTTCCTCCGGGTACTCCGGTTTCCCCTACCACTAAAAATATGTCCAATAGTTCTGGCATGCGCCTCCTGTACTGGCGACCCCGCTCCCATCTGTGTGGAGTGAGAGACAAATGCCCAAAATTAACAATTGTAAACCGCTTTGAGACTCAGATCTGCAGTGAAAAGGCGGTATATAAATACAAACTTACTTACTTACTTACTTACAATATAAACACCACAATCACAGAGAGCTCTACATTTTTTCAACACTAAAACTCCAAGAGCAGTCAATTTCACGGCTTTTATTTTTGGACTTATGTACATGTTTGGTCTTCATAACGTTGTGACTGTTTCTATATTTCTGTTTTTTTTTTTTTCTTGTGGGGTCTGTATTGTTTTTATATGGAACTTTAGTCTGGAATAAAGATGTAATATAAAAATATATATTCATAGATGTAGTTTATTTCTATGTCATTTTTTCTGATTTTCTTTTTCTTTTTGAAATGTAAGCAGTTAGTTTCCATAGTTAACATAGAAACACCATAGTTACCATAGCAACACACTGTTTACTTTCCAGCAGTTAGCAATTGGTAGTATATTAGCTAACTGTTTTTACTGTATTTCAAGTCATCTTCACAGTGAGTTAAGGAAAAGAAACCGGTAGAAATTAAAGTGTAAATTTTTCTCAAAATTCCATTGGTTTAAATATAACATGAATAAGACTTAAAGGTGCAGTAATGTTGTTACTGTAGCTTAGCCGTAGCACCAACTCCAATGGTCAGCACTAGATCATATACGGAGTCGGGACGGAAGCGGAAGTAAATACAACAAACTACCTATTCATGCCTAAACTTAACCAGCCATTCCTATAAAATAACCCCAACCTACCCTTAACCCTAACCTTAACCATCTTACTCAGACCACCTTAACCATCTTACTCAGACCACCTTAACCCTAACCTTAACCATCTTACTCAGACCACCTTAACCATCTTACTCAGACCACCTTAACCCTAACCTTAACCATCTTACTCAGACCACCTTAACCCTAACCTTAACCATCTTACTCAGACCACCTTAACCATCTTACTCAGACCACCTTAACCCTAACCTTAACCATCTTACTCAGATGCCTAAAACTTAACCAGTCACCACTTAAGGATTTTTAGTCTAAAACTTATTCGAAAGTAGGATTGTTACTTCCCGTTTCATCCCGATTCTGTACATGATCTTGTGCCGACCCTACTCCAAACCACTCCCCCCTCCCCTCGCCTCTCCACCAAACCAAACATCCAGCATTTTCTTTTCTTTGTCACAACAGAGCGAGTGGGCGGCAAACGTGAAATTGGCATTTTCTGTTCAGCCCTTTAAGGTTTTAGAAAATCCGATAACTCTGGTGCGCGCACTCGTGAGAAACAGGAAGAGGGTGAAGGAGGGTAAACGCATCCCATTGGTTCTTTGGTGATGAACGAATCCCATTGGTTTATTTTTATCGGCCCGCTCCAAAATATTTTTTATTAAGGCATCCGGGTCAATTCCATTACTATTTGAAAACATGATAACTTGACACTTTTAGGGTTTAGGGACGTTTTCCCACAATATTAAAAATAAATGTCTACAAAAAAATCACTGACTGAATCTTTAAGTCTTGTTGTTGACATTTTCTGTTGTTGTCTTTAATTTATTGCTGTTTTTTTGGCTCTTATTCTATTGTTTGTATTTCCATGTTCAAATAAAACTCCCATTCATTCATAATTCTGGGTCCAAAATGTTGAGTGTGGCACAAACTGTTACTGAGCCAGAGGAGTTTACTGTTACATGGAAGTCGATAGAAACCAGAGCGAGTTGGAGCCAAAACTTCACCATGAGCTCTTCCCTGTCGCGCTTCATTAGGCTCGGGGGGTTAGCATTATCCATCTACACATACAGTCTGTGTGTAAATGACAGATGGCCTATACAGCAACCGATCAAAGTGGATGAGCGAAGTGAGAAAAATCCCGTCCGTTTTACAGATTTATATAAAAAGTAGGAAAGTAGAGAGAGATAATCCGATCACGCGTCCGGACCGGAGAGTTTAATCCTGATGTGCAAGAAACATCCATCCATCTATAAAGCCTTTTCTCCAACTTTATCCTTTCACACACTCATTCTGCAGCTCATCAGGGGCAATCCCGAGGTGTTCCCGGCAGGTTAATGGACAAACCTACCCCTCCCCACCCAGTGTCAAAGTTATAATAATGAAACACACCTCTCCAGACTGTGGCCTTGATGGATTCTTCGACAGTCGCACGTAATGTTTGTTTATATAGCGCATTTCAGAGACCAAGACCAATTTCAGAGATTTCTCCGTTCTCTCCACACGGTGATGACAGACTGGCGCATCAAAGCCCCCAATCAACACCATCCACTCCCTCACTCATTACAATCAGACCTATTGTGCATGAAACCCATGACCTTCTAACTGGGAAACACAAGGTTTAACCGCTGGGGCACGGTGGCGCAGCGCAAACACACTCTTATTAACCCTGAACTATTTTATATGTTTTTAGAGGAATGGGAAACCGGAGCACCTGGAGGAAATCGGAGCAGCTGGAAAAAAAACGGAGCACCTGGAGTAAACCGGAGCAACTGGAGGAAACTGGAGCACCTGGAATAAAACCGGAGCACCTGGTGCAAACCGGAGCACCTTGAGTAAACCGGAGCACCTGGAGGAAACCAGAGCACCTGAAATAAAACCGGAGCACCTGGAGGAAACCGGAGCATATAGAATAAAACAGGAGCACCTGGAGGAAACCGGAGCATCTGGAGGAAACTGGAGCACCTGGAATAAAACCGGAGCACCTGGAGGGTACCTGAGCACCTGGAGGAAATTTGAGCACCTGGAATAAAACCGGAGCACATGGAGGAAACCGGACCATATAGAATAAAACAGGAGCACCTGGAGGAAACCGGAGCATCTGGAGGAAACTGGAGCACCTGGAATAAAACCGTAGCACCTGGAGGAAACTGGAGCACCTGGCATTAAACCGGAGCACCTGAAATAAAACCGGAGCACCTGGAAGAAACCGCAGCACCTGGAGGAAACCGGATCATCTGGAGTAAACCGGAGCACCTGGAGGAAACTTACACTGACACAGGGAGAGAAGGGCTTTGTGCCCCAGAAGTTTGCAAATTATTGATCCCCGTAGGGAAATTTGTCCTCTGCATTTGACCCATCCTGATGCCACTAAGGCTTCAGTTAGGAGCAGAGGTTGCCGTAGTAACAGCCCCGAAGGGAACCCACCTCCAGATGTGGATGCTCGGCTTGGTCAGGACCAGAGCTGGAGGATTTGACCTACTGTTATGGGGGTAATTAACACCAATGGACTTTCAGATCACTATCTCCTCACAGATAAAAACAAACTCATGATATGGAACAACTTGATATATTTTATATATCTCCTCTTGTTTAAACACCTTCAAACACACATGAACAATTCACACCATATCAAAAACCACAACAAAACAAGTGTATTTACCTGTGCGGGTCGTAACTTTGCTTCAGACTTCTCCCTGACCCGTGACCATCTCTGGTTCTAACTCATAATGGCTTTTTTATTCCGTTGTGAAAGTCTTTAGTCTAACATTTTCAACATATGGACACAACACAACATGAGAGTGAACTGGGCCAAGGATTTAACAGAGATTTCTCTAATGAAGCGCACTGCGTTCACTCAGCCCACTGGTCTTTATTTATAGCTCATATATTATAGCAACTTTGAAGTTACCTTACCGGTCCATTATTGTTCGGTAAAAGTAAAATGTGAAATGTGGTGTGGGAGTTTTTGGATCAGTTTTGCGGCTGTAGCAACAGAAGAGGCCTACAAGTGGAAGTTGGAATATTGTCCCCTGTCCTCCCCTGTCCTAGCCTGGCCTTAGCTGTCTGTAAACTCCCTTCAATTATTATTTCCTGTGACGTCAAGAGTTTGCGCAGAATCAGAATTTGCGGTTTGTAGTTTGGCAATGGCGGTGAATGCGATAGTAAAGTATTCTGTTCTGGTTCAGCTCCAAAGATCAAGAAATTGAAGTCGCTCCACTCCCCATGGGCTTCGTTAGTGGCAAAGGAGATGCTAAAGCTAGGCTAAATGCTAAAGCTAGGCTAAATGCCTCACTCACTCGGGCACATTACATTCATCACAGCAAACTCGGATGCAATAGTTTCAATCTGCAAAAGAAGTTAACCCCTCCCACCTGTTTACAGTTAAGTGAGAAAATGTAGACCTTGGAACAAAATGAAATTAGTACAATGGTGTGGTAAGACCAGGCTTACAGTGCCGATGAGCGTTGAAAGAGCAGAGAATTTTACACCGCAGCAATAACTATGTTCAGGGGCCAGTGTCTGTTTGAACCATCAGCAGCGGCTGAGTGAGGAGCAGTCAGAAGGTTACGGGTTCAATCCTGTGTTGGCCAGGGTCTTTCTATGGGAGGTTTCATGTTTGTGTCTGGGTGAGTTTCCTGGGTCCACGGCTCCTGACAGTGGGACATACCATCTTGTTTTATGAAAGAGACTGTAAATAGTGCTAAACTAGCACAGAATACAGTGGATTAACACCACATTGAACGTTAACAGTTAAAGCAAATAATAAATAAATAATGCGCATGCGCTGCGCAGCGCGAACCACTTCTGCTGCAGACAGGTGACTACTCACAGCTCCCCCTAGTGGTGCGCACTGAGAATACATAGACAGGAGGCAAATAACACAATAATAACGCATGCGGCGTGTTAAATGAGGCCGTCAGTATGATCCGTGTCTTTTGTCCCAGTTGAACCCACAGACCTCTGCAGTCCTGCCATGTGTTGCTCCGTGCTCCTCTCTCATTGGCCCCGTGATGGAGGAGGCAGACGGAGGCAGACGGAGCAGACGGAGCTCCGGACAGCAGCCTCCTCCTCAGTCCGATCAGGCTGTCAACTGCAGCAACATCCCGCCCTGAGCTCACGGACATGTAGACCTGAAGACATGCACTTTTAAACCTCATCTCTGAGCCTTTGCTTTAAGGCAACACCAAGTTAACTTTCTATGCTCCGCGGAGCGTAAAAGGATTTTCCTCCTCATTTTCCGACGTCTTTTCATTCCCTCGACTTTTCCTAACGGGGCTTTTCTCTCTGGAAACACCGTTCCCTGAAGGATTTACTCGCTGTAGCACCCATGAATTCAGAAAAAAATGTGTGCATGGGCAGAGACAAAGGACTCATGCGAAAGAGAGCCCTGCTCCTTCGGAAAGGCTGCAGCTTCGAGATTACAAGGTACACGCTCTGACCACAGGGAAGCCGCTTAGACCGGGACAGTCACAATGGCTGTCCCGGTCTGCACACTCTGCACCCTCTGCACACTCTGCACCCTCTGTACTCCCATCACCAGCTCATTCATGTCACACACCGCTCAGCTCAGGAGTCCATCAGTCACCCTGTTATATGGAGCATCCCGTGTGGAGCAGGGGGCCCTCAGCACACTGGGGGCTCATCATGAGGGGCTCATGTTGAGGGGGGACTGTACAGGCTTCTGTGCTGAGATGAGGAGACCACCAGTATTCTCATCTTACATTGTGATGTCACTATGTTATTGTTTATAGCCTAAGTATGTATTAATATAACTCAGTGACTTCCTCAGTCTACAGTCTGACTCCGTGCGCAGTGATGTAATTGGCAACTATGAGCCTCTCCACACAGGCCTAGTCTACTCTACAGGATCAATTTCCCCCAATGCTGTCTCAGGACACTTACCACACAGAGAGATGCCAGAGTAAATTATACACACACACACGCCCACAATGTATTTATACTTTTAAGACTGAAAAGACTGTGTTTTATAGAAAAGAGGGGTCAGTGGACTTTAATCGCTCACCTTTCTGAATAAGCTCTACCCCATTAGTCTACACATGTATTAATCTGGTGATGAAGTCATGTACAAAATGCTTTTAAATCACTCTGCAGTCGATAGAAAAACTACTTGCTCTATAAATAAAATGATCTTCTTCCCAACCTGAGGTGATGTCTTGCCTCATTATGAACAATCGCAGACTAATGAAGCGTCTCCCATAATTAGTTTGATTGGAGGAGCATTGAGTGGACTATGTTTCCTTTGTGGGTGATGTAGGTCTACTATAGGTCGCAGCCTTTTTTATGGGCACTTGGGCTGTGGAGGCTTATGGGCAATCAGTTTTTTATAGGATATGAATATTCTGCTCTTGTTGTAGTAACAGCTATAGACCTGATTCCGTATGTTTTCTTTGGAGCCCTGACTTATCTGTTTTAACATAACAGCTGTTTTTGTCTGCCTCTTAGCAAGACACGTTCAGTCCTCTGGCCAGTTAAGATAGGGCTAACAAAAAGGCCTATCTTCAGGGTGAATCTAAGTACTTCATAATTGCAGTTTGAACCGAAAAGCACAAAACCTATGCCATTTTTCTACATCTAATCTATGTTGTTTGGAGGTTGTTTGGAGGGGGCTGTTTCTCAGTGGCGAATGCTTATCTACAAGTGGAGAGGCAGGTGGCTAATCTAACAGCTGTGAAAGGCAAAAGCCACAGCTGTATGACGAAATAGTATTTGTCAGGTTCATAGGGACAGGTCTGCAGATGCAATTGTCTCAGCATCCCAAATATCTTCAGTATTTAACAGCTGAAGTATTGCCTTAATACAAGGAGTTTTTATGATATTCAAATAACTTAATAATAGTCACTTCCCTCTCTGTCTGGGAGCCTCCAGTCCTGGACCGCACAGCCTCACAGTACTCGTTCTACAGCCTGAGTCCTGAATCTAAAGCCTGTCCATCTGTGGAAGCGGATCACTCTCCAATATGGCTTTCAACCAGGGTTTCTCACTTCTTTTTTTTCAAGATTCATTTATCATATCCCAGAGGAAATCTGTCTTGGATTCCCAGAATGCTCCATTTATGGTTTATGTCTGTGGTACTCTATGGCCTGCATTCAGGATTCACAGATATGTGTTGACTTTGCATGTTCTGTCCTGTGTCTGCTCCGGTTTCCTCCGGGTGCTCCGGTTTCCCCTACCACTAAATACATGGGAAAGCGCCCCCTGTATGGTGACCGCTCTCATGTGTGGAGCGAGAGACAAATGCCCCAAAACAATAATAACAATTGTAAAGTTCTTTGTGACTCTCAGTATATATACTATTCTGAGAGAAAAGTTTGGAGTCGTTCCGAGCCGATGCAGAAGAGTGTAAAGACATTTTGTATATGCACATTTATAAACATTCATGGACAGAGGTCATCCCTGCCCCTATGAACCAATGGCTCCTCTGTGTTTGTGAATATTGCATGTTGTTTGAATCTTGGCGACTCGAGTTTGAAGTCTTCCACGACGACTGCTGTTGTTATTTATACAAAACTAAATCAAATTGGATTGAATAGTAATCTGCAAACTCCATGAAGAAGTGGAAGTAGTGAAGTAAAGTTTCAGCGAATGAGGACTGTTGTATTTTGTAGTAGTTATGGCTGAAATGAAATGCCAGAGAATGAATGTCTAAGTTGTAGATAAAGGTGTATAGTGTTTGAAAAAGTTGCTGCCTTGCTAATAATAGTGAGAAATCTTTGTATAGTTGTATGTGTGTCTTTTTTATTAGTCATTTTCTGCCAGTCTTTCTGTATATTGAGAGAGAGAGAGAGTCCATATGCACAGGGACGACAAAGCACAACAAAGCTCACGTCTCTCACGGCAGTCTGACAGGAAACAAATCAAATTCAGCCGGTTCCACGTCCAGGTTTATTGTTTCCATGAGGAGTCGTGAAGGTTTAGCGTCGTCTGTGTGTGTCCTCGAGAACGGGGGCAATTACTGCTGATGGAAAATGACAAACTTTCACAAAATCCCTCAGTTACTCGTGATCAATAAGCCGCAGAACAGACCAAAGAGGACCCGAACTCTGGCAAGAAAATAAATGATGAATGAATGAAGTTGGCAGACACACATCATGAAGCTTTCTCATCAGACGCATCAGAAAAAAGAAAAAAAGAAAAACATGTCTATTTTTGTGTGACCATTTGTTTTTGGCTTCAAATTTGAACATTGTTTGCACTACCGTAAACTCTTCAGTATACGATATGCACAAGTTATTACGATTACGATCCAACTTTTATCGCCAGAATCTTCTGTCTGTGACACATGTGGCTCCTAAGCACTGACTACAGATGCAATCCACCTGCTGGGGTTTAGCTAGAAACTGTACAAACTCTGTGTGTTAGGTGTTACAACTTATTTTTGTTTCTGCTTTAATTTGAACAAATATGTGCCATTTTTTGGTTTGGGAATTTTGTTGTAGAAAAAAAGATGTTGAAGAAGTAGTAATGTTTTTAGTTACCTGTGAGATTTTATTTGTATTTTTAATGGTGTTTTTCTGCTTGTTTTACAGTATGTGATGATTTGTGCCTTGTGTGGTGTGGACTGTGAGGCGCTTTGTGTTGCCCTGTGTAGGAAAAGCGCACTATAAATAAGATTGACTGATTGATTGATAGTAGCTGGTCCACTTTTTTCCAGTTTGTGAGTAATGTGGACCAGCTACTATTCCCACAAACTGGAATTCCAAATTGAGAGATTCATTCTGCTCTCTGATTGGATGATCTGCTTGTAAAATTCCCCAGTTTAAGATCAATCAAGTCTATCTTATCTTATCCTAAAGTCATAAGAATAATTAATATAACCATCGTATCCATTGTATTTTCAATGAAGAATAACTCTAGTTTTTTGTTCAGAAAAGAACACATGTGATTTTATTTTGTACGTGTTGACCTATTAAACTGGGGACACATATAAAAGATGTAGATGTAATCATAGACTGTATATAGATAGACAATGCTAACCCACTAACTCAATGAAGCCCAATAGGGAAGTGCTCAGGGACAAAGCTCCAACTCGCTCTGGCTCCTATTGACTTACATTGAAAAGTAAGCTCCTCTAGCTCAGTAACCGTTTGTGCCACACTCGACATTTTGAGCTTAAAAAAATCCTGGTGTTTATATTTTTTACACATATGAGCCATGTAAGGATTGACCAATAAGATGCCTTCATTCACGGGGGGAATTCCAGCTTGCCTTAGCAACCGCCTTAGCAACATGTCCACACCTATTACCACGCAAAGCTCACGGCACAGAAACAAAATGCCCATATAAGGAAAATGGCTCCAGCTAGCTTTTGTTCAAATGTCGCTTAAACACAGCCCTCGATAAACAGTCTATGGATGTAATCTAACATACAAAAATTACATACAGTGTCTTTAAATTCAACTTATTGCACTGCATTTATTGCTTTTCTCCCCCTTCACTATTGTTGAGTCCAAAGAAAGCCCTGGATCTGAGCCTTCTTTGCTGCTGGCACTTACTGTAAAATATTTAACATTTCCACATGGTCATTACACAGACTGGAGCTTATGTAAAAACACAAACCGACAGTATATTCTGGGTAATGCGGCGTGTCCCAAAACTGTTTATCTGATTCTGACCCAAGATATATTACTCTAAATATGGTCAAAATAGACTCAAAAAAATGCACTTTACAAAAAAATGTCGTTTTGTCTCGTTTCATGTGGACCTCAAGGCAGTAATGAAGTTGAATAGAAATGTATATAGCCTGAAATTAAAGATGCAGTCAGTGATTTTTTTCCAGACGCATTATTAAAATAGTAATGGAATTGACCAGATGCCTATAGTCTCCAAAAATGTATTACAAATATTTTGGAGCGGACTGATAAAAATCAACCAAGATATGAGGGGATTCGTTCATCCCCAACGTTTACCCCCTTCACCCTCTTCCTGTTTCTCACAAGTGTGCGCACCGGAGTTATCGGATTTTCTAAAACCTAAAAATGCTAAACAGACAATGCCAATTTCACGTTTGCCGCCCACTCTCCCTGTTGTGACAAAGAAAAGAAAATGCTGGATGTTGATGCTAGGGCTAAGCTGACAACATCGCTAACTGCAC